CAAGTGTGGACTGTGGAAAAGTGAAACTCGCCCTCAGCTCCTTAAAATCAGCAGGTTTTGAGGTTCCACTTGGGCTGCAGCTCTCTCACAGTAGAAACTAACTTCCTGTACTTCTGCCTAATGAAAACAATTGTCCCTTGGTATCGGAAAAACCCTGTCAATACAAGTTGCCACTGCTACTGTTGTCAGTTTGGGCAGCTGCAGCTATAATGAATGACACACGGCTGATTTGTTAAGAAGGGTCTGATCTCTGAAATCTCTGCGTGGGCAAAAACCACTGCTGCAAACAAGAGGACTTTGGCTGAATTTTGTCCTGTCTCCAGTGCTTCATTCTGTCTCACAAGTGCTAGTCCATGTGACTAACAGTACATCAGGCTAGCACCTGTGCAGTTCTGTAAAGTGGAAATAAATTTCCTTGGGCCGCAATTGTTTTTGGCTTCCTCAAAGGCAGCAGTGGTGTAAACCAGGAACAAAAGGAGGGACTCACCAGAACCGCACCAGGATCAAGTGTTAGTTTTCCCTTCAGTAAGCCAGGCTGTGAATCTGCAGCACTCGTGTACCAAGAGTTTTGGTGCACATGGGCACCCCCTGCACAATGGGGTCACTTCCAGTACATCTAATGATTACTACAGGCTTATCTGTCTGAATGGGCTTGTGAGGCAGATGAGGTAAACTGCATTAAGCCCCATTGTGTTCAGAATTAAAGCAGCCTTAACTCAATTCAGATTTTACTTCCTTTTCAAAAAGAATGACTCCAAATCAGATTAAGGTTGCTTTAATACTGCAACAGAATGTCCATGCTGGGCTTTAAAGCAGTTTAACAAATCTACTTTAAATGCACACCTTTCATTAATTTGGATTAGCTTTCCTGAAGTCTCCGGTGGAGATAAGGCTTAGGATACCCCATGCAGGGAATCTGCATGGGTTTGCTAGTATGCTGTGAACTCACAACCTGGCTAACTGCACCCTAACTTCCTCATGAAGGTGACTAAATCCAGTTCATGGCCTGTGCTGGAGCTGCCACACAGAGAATTGAGCTCTCGGCAGTCTTGCAGCAAGCCCTGGGTTCTGTGAAGGAACAGGGTACAGAGTCCTTCATTTTCACTCTCACCCTTGCCCCTCTGCCTCTCCCTAGTGCTCTAGAGCTAAGTATGGTAGAACCAGATGGGGAATTCTGGCAGGGATACAAGTCTATGGGATTCCTGCCCACTGACTCTCTGCTCCATTCCCGCCTCTGCACTGCAGTGCACTGCTGCCTTGCCCTTGCCAGGTAAATTCCCTCACCCCTTTCCCTGAGTGGACGAAGGAAAAGCTGCACAGGACCAGTTAAGAAGCACAGAGAGGCACGGAGCAGTGGGTGGTGGTGAGGGCGTGGGGAATGACTTCTGGTGGGAAAGCTTTCTTCCCCTCAACAAACTAAAGACTGCCATATCCACTGGGTTCCCTGTCCAGCATAACGTGGACATCACTTCCAGGAGGTCCCTACCAATGGAATTCTTTCGGAGAAGCACCACACTGGCCATCAGCTCATTTCCAGTCCTCTTCCAGTTACATAAAAATCCCCTTAGAATCCACGTGTAGCAAAAAGAAACATAAGGGCCAAAAGGAAAAAAAAAATAAAAAAAAAAAAATATATATATATATATATAAAGAAAAGAAAGAAATAAAGAAATAGAAAAAGGGATGCTTGCTGATAAGAGCAGGCAGTTTGTTAAGTGCACCTTCAGGCCCACAAAGACATTTCAGCACTCCCATGTAAAGGGAGTAAGAACCTTGTTTTTGTTATTTTTTTGTGTCAAACTTGTCAAAAATGCATGCCTATGCTACATGAGATTAATTCCTGTACTCCATATGGGTTGAGATCCTTTGCAGTGAGCTATAAATGGACAAAGCAACATTCAGGCTCCCCAAACCATGAGTTCTTATGATCCGTCCCAGTCTCTTGACAAAGAATCGCTGCATGAAGCACTTTTCTCTGTGCATAAGCAGAATGATCATCACTCTGCACATTAAATTAAGGTGTGCACACCCAGCTGGGGCAGAAGGTACCCAAGTGAGGCCTCATCTCCCAAATGTATCCTTCTGATCATCGGTCCCATAGCACTGAATTGATTATTGCTGTTTAGTTTAGCCAGATGGTGGTTTTATAAGCTGAGTGCAGCATTCAAGTCCATTTTGATATCAGAAGTCATATCCTGTGATTCAAGAGTTTGGGAATATCAGGACCACTGGCATTTAACAGGGAGAGAGGTGTACAAAGGGCAAGGGTGTGAGCAGGGGACAGGAAAGAAGCTTTACAACATCTACCTAGATGATGTAATACCCTGCTTTATTTGATACTTTGCACTTCTTGCAGGAATTGTAGCTCCTTCAGTTCTTGATATTTCTCATCACTACGATTCACAGAAGTCACACAGTGAGAAATGAAGTCAAGTCTTTCTGAAAACCTGGTAGGTCAAGCTTGTGCGTAACTGCAGAGTTAGGGTTGGCTTTTAAGTGCTTTGATTTTATTTTATATATACATGTGCCTGCATATGTATGTGACACACACAGGAGCAGACATACATGTATATATATATATTTATACACATATATACATATATCAGAAAGATAGGGGAGGAAAGGATCTGTACACCATGGAAGGAGATGTGTTCAACAGCAGTTGGCCACATGCTAAGTGCAGAATGAAGATCCTCAACTTTGTCCATTTGAAAAATTGAGATTAGTGCCTATATGTTTGTTCAGATCTTCCAGGGCCTAGTAGTCAAGGCTGGCATGTTGCAGAAGATATCTTCTCCTAGCATTGCTTCCCTCACCAGGAAATGATGGAAGTACAGCAAGATCAGAGACCAGGAAGAAGAATATGGTTCAAAGGCTGTGATGGGATTTAAGATCTGAAAGAGGATGGAGCAGACAGGGAAGGGAGAGCCCGGCAAAGCCTTTCCCATCTACCTACTGGGGAACCTAAGGGAAAGAAGAGCACAGTCCTCCAGTCTGGTTGCCTGACTGGGCGATGCCCAGGCTCCCATTCCTCCTGCGCCCTGCCTTACAGGGACAAGCTGCCAAAGAGCCACCTCAGGGAAAAGAAGGGCTGGTACAGTGATGGCAGTGATGCCTTTATGAACAACTGGGGAAATCTGAAGCTTTGCATGCACACAACTAGGAGTTATTTGGCAGAAGCTAATGCAGAGCCTGGCAGCATCAGCCTAGCTAGGGATGGAAAGTATTCCACGGGCACCGGTGATCTCTGCCTGCCTCTTCTGCATCCCTCTCACTCACACTTGATCTTTCTATCCCTAAACCTTTCCATGCTGTACCAGTAGACAGCACAGGACACTCCTGACACACAGGATTGACTCCTCATCCTTTCCCTCAGTGTCTCTGATCCACTCAGTTCCTGGAGGCACTTTCAGCAGTTGTGGGGGGTGTAAGATAAAGGCACTGCGCAACTCTCTCAATCAATCTGCTGGGTCTCTTCAGTGAGTTTTGGGGGGGATACAAAAAAGTCTCAACTGATGACTGCAAAAGAAACCAGCTGCTGCAATTCGGATGCATGTAATAGATAAGTTTCATTTACATTCTGAGAATGCACCAAAAAGCATGCATCTGCACCTTTCATCTATAGAGGATACTAGGTTTTTAAAGGTTGCTATATATAACTTGACTTGTTAGTTTTCCATATAGCTTTCCCTTTAAGGGATGGGATATGTTCCTTTCTGACAACACCTGGACAAAAGCCAACACACTTCCCTGAGCAATGCAGGAAACAATCAGGTTTCTCTAATCAGTTCATTCAGGCCCTCAGTCTATCAAGCACTTTTTTTTTGTTTTTATTGTTATCATTATAGTTGTTATTATTATCATCATCATCATCATCATTATTATTATTATTATTATCATTGAATTCATGCACTAATTAATTCAAGTTACACTTTAATCAAATAGGCCATAATGCTGAATATTTGAACATGCTTTGATCTCCAAAAGTTATTGTTCCCCTTTGACTAACATACGCACTTAAATACAGTACTTTAAATTACTAGTCAACGATTTAATAAATTAAGGAGTGCACTTCTGGTGAATGCAAATCAAAAAGAAAAAGAAAAGAAATGAAAAAAGATAAGAGAAAGGACCTATTTTTAGAAGATTCAGTTCAAACGAAAGCTTATCCGCTATTGACTGAGGTAACGTTTCAAGCATGCGATCATAAAATAAATAGTATCAAATTCAAACATGCTTATATTAAACTCCATTGTGCTATCTTGCAACAGAGGGGCTTTAAGTTTTGTATCCAGTTCCAAACGGGGAGCGGGGGCAAAGTGTGTTTCTATCATCTGCATGTGAGAGGACTTAGCAGCATTGCAGATGTTTTGTCTTCAGTTTTGTTTGTTATTCTCCTTTTAGGATATTTCTTCTACGGACAGCAAAAGAGGGTTTTTTAATAAGGTGCTGTGTGGATCTGTAGGTTGGAAGGATGGAATCTTTCACAGAGGGGGCGGAAGGAAAATTTGCACTCCTTCATAAACACCGTGGCAAATGCTTGCCACAAGTTTTGGCTGATCTTTTTGTACTATTATTATCTGATGCACTGTCTTGCAACTGTGTAGTTTTGCAGAATATTTTTACTGGAATCCATGCATATGCTTAATAGCTCTAAAAACTGTCTTGCTTAGTTTAAGATAGCTTTATCCAAATAAAAGAAAAGTAAAAAAAAAAAAAAAAGAGGAGATAGGAGAGGAAATGTTTAGGTCTACATCATAACGGCTTAAAACTAAACTAGTTCAAATGGTTATAATTTGCCAGGTGGAAAATAGTTTTTTTTTTGAAAATAAACAAAATTTTATCTTTCATGGATCCTGGAAGCTTCTTTATTGCAGAGCAAAGATTTGCAATGCAACAATGCATTTACGAGGTAAATAAAGCATTCAAAGACTATCAGTAAAGCATCTACAAAGTGTGACTGTGTCACTAAAGTCTTCAAGCTGTGAGTGGGGATTTTGTTTTGGGTTTTTTTGTTTGTTTGTTTAAACATCAGTCAGCAGCTTGCTTTTATTAACGCAGTTTTGGTTGGCTACAGTGCAGTTGCCAGTTCTGAGATTAGCCTCTCTAAAATTGTCTATGCTATTATTCATATCCTCTTCGATTTCCATGTACTCAGATTTGCTGATTGTGGAGGAGCTGCGGCGACTGAGATCACTGTCAGATGCTAAATTAGGGGAGCTAACGTGAAGTAACTGAGCCTGTTCTTCCCCTTCTGTTTCTCGGTGGTAGAAGTAGTTGAAGTTGGACACGATGACAGGTACAGGCAGGGCAATTGTCAGCACACCAGCGATGGCACACAAGGAGCCTACGATTTTGCCTCCAATTGTCACAGGGTACATGTCACCATAGCCCACAGTGGTCATGGATACCACCGCCCACCAGAAAGCATCAGGGATACTTGTGAAATGAGACTCAGGTTCTTCAGCCTCAGCAAAATATACCGCACTAGAGAACAAAATCACCCCAATGAAGAGGAAGAAGATTAGTAAACCTAGCTCTCTCATACTTGCTTTGAGGGTCTGTCCCAAAATCTGGAGGCCCTTAGAGTGCCGGGAGAGTTTGAAGATTCGAAAGACTCTTACCAGTCTGATGACTCTCAGGATGGCCAAGGAGGTGGCCTGCTCTCCTTTCTGAGTCCCCTCCCGCTCAGCCATCTCAGTGCCCAGGGTGATGAAGTAAGGGATGATGGCCACAATGTCAATGAAGTTCATTATGTTCTTGAAGAAATCAGTCTTGCTAGGGCAAGCAAAGAAGCGCACCACCAGCTCAAAGGAGAACCAGATGATGCATAGGGTCTCCACAACAAAGAAGGGATCTGTGAAGATGTTGGATTTGTAGACCTGGGTGGTGTTGTCAGTGCGATGCACTGTGTACTCCTTGTCCTCCTTCAGCTCAGGTAATGTCTCTAGGCAGAAGATCACTATGGAGATGAGGATGACCATGACAGAGACTATGGCAATAACCCTTGCCGGCCCAGAGCTCTCTGGGTACTCAAAGAGGAGCCACACTTGGCGCTGGTACTCCCCCTCCGGCAAGGGTCTCTCCTCATCTTTAATGAATCCTTCATCTTCTCGGAACTTCTCCATGGCCTCCTCCCCCAGCTCATAAAATTTTATCTCCTCAGAGAACATGTCCAGGGGGACATTGACAGGCCGGCGGAGCCGCCCCCCAGACTGGTAGTAGTAGAGGATGGCATCAAAGCTGGGCCGGTTGCGGTCAAAGAAGTACTCGTTGCGCAAGGGGTCAAAGTACCTCATGCGCTTCTTGGGGTTGCCCAGCAGTGTGTTGGGGAATTGGGCTAAAGTCTTCAGCTGTGTCTCGAAGCGCAGTCCCGCAATGTTTATCACCACGCGCTCACAGCACTCGTGGTCGTCGTGGGCAGCGGGCTGGTAGCTATCCTGGGGGTGGCCAGGTAGCGCAGAAGTCTCATCCATGTTCTCTCCAGCCATCACGGTCATGGTGGCACAGAGGAAAGGGGACCAAGGGGCAGGGGAGAAAGTGAGGGAAAGGGAGAAGGAGGAGGATGGAGAAGCACAGATAGACCCAGGGCGGTTCAAGGTGGGGGGGGTTGAGGGGGTTGAGCTGGGGAGCTTGAGGAAGGGGTGGAATGGAGCCTAAAGGATGGAAATACCCAAAAGGGGAAAAGAGAGGTAGGATAAAGGGAGAGGCATCAGGGATGATGGGAGGGTGAAGAAAGAGGGAAGAAGTACCTTTAGGGGGGGCAGAGGGCAGGTAAGGTGAGGGGTCCTGTCCCCCACACCGGGAGGCTGAAGGTCTATGGAGTGTACCCCCAGGCTGGGGTTCCCCTCCCCAGCCGTCTCCTTTAGGCTTTAACTCGATCCGTCCACTTTTCTTGCCGGCTTGACCATCGCTGCAGCTGCTGCCACGAAGCTACCACACACACACACACACACGCACACGCACATACACATAAAATAAATAAATAAATAAATCACGGGCTGGCTGGGAGGCGAGTCCTTGCAATGCCAACTCAGCAAATTTCCATCACCTGCCTCTTCCTTCCCCCCTCCCACCACCACCACCACTGCCCTGGTCCTCTCCTCTTTTGTGCTGGGGAGGGAGAGAGGGATGGAAACACTCTGCTTTGAAGGCATAAAGCTCACTTGCAGGATGGAGGCTGCCAGGGAAGAGAGAAACAGAATAAACCAGCCCCCAAGCCCCTCCACATACACACACACACTCAGGCGCAATGGATTGGCTTTCACATCAGCAGGAACATCCCGTTCTGCCCACTACAGCAGTACATGTGGAGTTTTACGTGTTCCTACACATCCCTGGACATGCACCAGGGCCTCCAAGGCAGGAAGGTGCCCCGAACTCATCGGGAGGGCTTCCCGGGGAACTTCAGCGGGGTCAGCTCCTGCAAAGGAGGCTCCCGAGCACCGCGCTCCCCGCTGTGGAGACTTAGCTGAGCACTGACAACTTCATCACACCAACTGTAGGGGGGGAGTGGATTAGGAGGGGGGGAGGCAAGGCATCTCCTCTCCTGCTTTGCAGCAGCTAAATGTAACAGAGAGAGACAAGGGGAGGGAGGTCGACATCCCAGACCCAAACCGTCCAAAATCGAGGGTAACATCGGCACGGAGAAGGGGCTTTTCCTTACCTGCTCCGGGTGAGACGCGCTGCTTAGGAGTAGGAGCCAGTGTCGGAATGCGTCAAGTCGCCTTGCAGCAGCATCCAAAAAAAACCAAACCAAAACAAAAACCGCAGCGGCAAACTTAACCCTCCTCCTCCTCTTGCGCCCCTCTTTATAACGCAGCGATCGCTTTACAGGGCTGCCTGCGAGACACTGAAATATTCATACACTGTCTTAGGCTGCACAAGGGCTAGTGGGTTTAATTAGTTTCTGCTGAGAACCGCAGTGGGGGGTGGGGGGTGTGCGTGGAAAGAGTGCAAAGTACCTTTTCCAAAAGGCTTGAGTTAGTCAATAAAATCAAGGAGTCCTTGATAGCTGCTGCCTCTCCAGCTCTCTTGCCTTAGGACAGCTGGAAAAGGAGCCGGGCGCTGAGCAGCGGCGGCGGAGGAGATGTCAGAGCGCCGCAGCCCTGCAGCCGCATCCCCGGAGTCGGTCTTGGCTCGTCCCGGCAGCAGCAGCGGCGGAGGCAGGAGGAGGCAGGAGCTGGACGCGTGTGGCAGGAGCGAGAGTGCAGCTGAATGCATAAGAGCGAGGAGCAAACTCGAGCCATTTCTTGACGCTGCAGTATCAGCAGAAACCTGAGAGCTGTTTGGTGCAGCTCGGGGATCGGGAGGGAGGGGGAGCCGGGGGCCGGAGCCGGCGGAGGAGGGAGGGATGCGCGCTGCCCCCAGGCCGGCCGCCCCCGCACGCTGCACGCCGCGCCCCCGACGCAATGCGGGCGGCCCCGGGATGGGGCTGCGGGATGGGGCTGCGGGAGCCTGCGGGAGCCAGCAGGATCCCGGGCAGCCGGCAGGGGAGGCACGGGCAGCCCGGACAGGTGTGCCGAGCAGCCGCTTCCCGACGCGCCGAGGGACGTCGGGACAGCGCTTGGTGCCCCCTCAGCACCTGCGGCGGAGCGGGGCCGCACATCCCGCACGGACCCCGGCTGCGGTCCCGGAGGGCGGCGGCTGCGCCCGCAATGCCCGGAGCCCCCTGGCCCCGGCCCCCGGCCCGCCTCGGTACCGAAGGGGACTGCGCAACCGGAGCCTCCTGGACACATTGGTGGAGGCTAAATCCCGAGCGGAATGGGTGGAATTGGGAGGGTTAATCGTCAGGCAGGGACAGTGCCCTTTCATGCTGCTTTATCCCACCGAATTCGTTTAATTGATGAATCACATAACTTCGAGATGAAAAAGACCCATTATGTCATCAGCTGGCCTCCCCTGCCAGCACAGGATTGTTCCCCACAGTATATGATCACTTACATTATATAAAAGCCTGCTGCTCACTTTGTCAGGGCGGGAGCGGTGATCAAATACAACCCGTGCCTGTGTAATTTGAAGCACTCCAGAGCTAAGTAACACCAAGTCCGTGTTTAACAGACCTGGTCTCATTAGCTTTCCACTGCATAATACATTATCTTCACTTAAGATCACCACCTTGGCAGTCCAAAAATACTTAACCACCTGACCTCCCTGGTGGTTTCTGTCTCTTCTTCCCTTCTCCTTATTTATGCCCATGTTTTGTTGTTTGGGGTGAGGTTTTTTGATGATGTTGTGGTTTATTTTTAATTTTTTTACTAGAGCAAAAACCATTCTTAAAGTCCTCTACCCCTGGCAGTGCTGCAATCACAGCTAGTTAGCATGCTGCATTCACCAGCCCTATGGAAACATAAGTGCAAAGAAACAAACAGATTTCCTGTCTAGCCTGGTACAAGGGTGGGTTTTGCTGTTGTTTGGTTTGTTTTGGCTTTTTTTCCAGTATCACATATGCTGAAAGTTTTGTGAGAAACTTCTGGTGAAGTTGTGAGCAAGAGAAACGTCTGTTTCTGCCACTCCTGGGTAAAACAATCAAAACACTAAATAAAAATAGTCTTCCTCCAGTGAAAAATAAAACACAATTCTGTCTGAAATTCAGCAGCTCAGCATCAGCACCTAGCTCTGGACCCTGCATTCCTGGACCCTGTAAAAACTAAACTCCCCCCAAAAAAGAAAGGCTGTCCCATCACCTAAACAAACCAGGCTGTTTTTCAACCCCTTGAGAAACTCAGTGACAGCCTTCAAGTCAACATCCTCTGATGGCAGTGAATTCCATGCCTGGGTGACACGGCAGGCTGCAGAGAACTCCAGGAGCTCTGCATTCGGTGCGCTTGGAGCTGCTGAGCAGAAGGAGCTCTGTGAGTGGGCGCTCCCCCGCCTCTGGTGCAGTGCTTTGTCCCCCTATCCCAGCCCAAAGGGTGCTCAGGAGTGGGCTGAAAATGCAGATCTAACAAGCAGAGGCCTGAGCTCTTGGTGCTGCTCTGCCCTTGGCTTTCTGCAGGATTGCAGACAAGGATATACATTCTGCTTTTGCATCTGGAAAATAGGACTTAAAAGTGCTTCCTTTGCCTGTCACAGCTCCTTAGGCAGCTGGTTTCTGAGAGCTGCCTTAGCACAGCAGAACCCTAATCCTCGTTGGGAGCTATGTGCACACCAGGCACAGAAATAAAAAAGAGGAGTGATAGCAACCTTAGTTTTTCCATTACAGCTAAAGGACAAACTGGGATATTGCTCTCCCCCCTCCTCATTTTGAATAGCTTTGAACTGTGGAATTTCTCTTTGCAATCTAACTACCATTACTGACAAGAAGTCATGCTGGAAAGGAGGGATGTTTCTAAGTGGGCTAATAGCCGTAGGGTCAATAAAATCTTGTTAAAGTACACAGACTAATGAGCAGTGTAACTAGGGCTTGCAAGAAGGTCGTATGTTACACATTATAGTGCTAAGTAGCTTCAATTAAATGTTGAGGAATGGAAGAAGAATCTAACTTCCTGCCAGATTCAAAGTCAGGCTGCTGCTGTTTCCTACCTTTTACATTACAGAAAATGGCCAGCAGCAGCTGAACTGGTCATCCCCCCAAAGAGCCACACTGAGAAGTTCTCTTCAGGAACAAAATTTTTTCAAAGGGAAACTAAAAATTGCAAAAAAACTTTGCAGCTTTTTGTGGTGGGAAGTCTGGTGGTACTGTTGTGATGAGAAAGAACAGCATTTTTCTCTTTTTTTGTTTTGTTTTTCATTTTAGAAAGAAAGAATTGAGTTGTTGATTAAAAGTCCTTGTGTGTTGTGAGGATTACAAAAAAAATTGTATTGAATGAATGTGAATCTGCAACAGGATTAAAAAAATGACATTGGCTTTACACAGTGAAACAGTCTTTAAATACTGTCACCAGGGAACCTGGGAAATCCTGATTGAAATCAATGGATACAGAAGCACAGTGGATTTCTGAGCATGGCCTCATTCCTGTGAGTGTCTTGAGAGGCCCCCAAAATTTCTTCACCTGAAAGAGACATTTTGTGTGATAAAAAACATTGTGAAATCCAATGGCAAAGGATGTCCTGGTTGCTTGGACACTATGGATCCTCACAGGCACTGTAATCCCAATCTATCTAAGCCTGGAAACCAACCTGGAAATATTACAGCTCCATTTTGAGCTGCCTAATGCCACCAATGGATTGTGCAGGTGTCACCACACATCTCATTTAATGACCTTGGGGGGCAGAGGATAAAGTGAGATGTTATGGCCCCAATTTGCTGTGCAGAGGGTCTGTCAATCATTCTGGTCCGTTACATGTAAAGAGTCAACAGACGGAACCAAAGGTGAGCTTGTGGTGTTGACAGTTGGGTTTTCTTCCTTGAAGGCAACAAAGAATCCTTTAAAAGCTTTTAATCTTTTAACACTGATTTATGAGCCTTGTTAATATCCTTCAGTACTATTTTGCATTTTTTGTGACTGGGATAATCAAATCTCATGCTTCAAAGAATATTGATAGCTGATGGGAGATGACAATTACTTTTGTT